GGCTGGAGTCAGCGTGGGCTCTGAGGTCCCGACGCCCGGTCTTGGGCCCAGCGGACCCTGTGGCTGGCGGGCTGGAGTCAGCGTGGACTCTGAGGTCCCGACGCCCGGTCTTGGGCCCAGTGGACCCTGTGGCTGGCGGGCTGGAGTCAGCGTGGGCTCCGAGGCCCTGCTGGGTGGGCGTCATCCTCACCGTCTACCCAGCTCAGCCACCGCTGCAGCCCCCCCACGGGGCCTTCCCATCTCCAGGGACCCTTTTCTTGTGGGAGATTAGAGTTCCGAGAATGAAAGGGCATTTGTGGGGATGTCGGGGAGGTCAGGAGCAGGCTCGGGGGCAGCCGGAGAAATCACGAGGGTAGTGACACAGCAGGGCTTTGCTGTGGGGACAGCGGGCTTGGGCCAGCCAGGTGGCAGCAGGAAGGACAGCAGGAGGGCAGGCAGGGCACCGGCCGGGCGGGGCTCACTGCACCCAGCACTGCTCAGCCAGCGGCGTGGACCTTCTCTTTTCAGCCCACTGTACCCGCGACAGCAGGCACTCGAGGGCTGGGCACCAGCAAAGGGGAGAGGGAGCGTGTGCTTTGCAGGGATACCCACTAACAGAGTCTTGTCTGATGGGGCTCGTGGGTATGAGAGGGAGGTCCTCCTTGTCCTCTCCTGGATGTTGTCATGGTGGAGCAGTGGCACATGCCCCTAGGGACAGTTTCATGTCTGAGAGAATGCATCTCCTCGCCCATTGGATGAGGGGTGCACAACCACCCCTGGCTCCTGTTCAGACAGCTTGTGCCCCGAAACTCCTCGGGGAGCCATCAGACATGGGGCGGCGTGTTAGTGACACTTAGAAACATGCACCTCACAAGACCTTGTCCCCAGGAAACCCGGTGACACAGAAAGAGCCTCTGTGCCACTTGTCAGGGGGCTCTCAGGGCTGCATCGGTGCCAGGGCCGGCTTCCCCCACCCTCGGACTGCTCCTGGGACCCAGAGCAGAGGCTTCCCCCACCCTCAGACTTCCCCACAAGGACCCAGAGCCCGAGGCTTCCCCCACCCTCGGACTGCTCCCGGGACCCAGAGCCCGAGGAAGCCGCTTTCCTAGACAACAAGGTCATTGTCAGAAGCAAGAGAAACAGACTATGACGGAGAGAGCCAAGAACAGCATGACCCGAGGGCAGAGCTTGCCTGCGCTCTCCACATCTACGGTCACAGCTGCCTGCTCTGTAACCAGACTGCTGTCTGGTGGGCAGGAAGCTGCCTCCACCACTCAGGCTCCTCTGTCTCATGTACCTGACAAACAGGTGGACGGTGGAGTCACAGTCGGCTGGGGACAGTCTCCAGAGTGGGGGGGGGGGAACTCAAGGGTCTGACCAGCCAGGAGGTATCTTTATTGTCCACGGGTGGACATGGGGTTCCGTGGGAAACCCAGCAGCATATGGTCAGAGGGCTGGCCACGTCCTTGGGGCTAGAACCCAGCTCTCAGGGGATGGCTGCTCTCACCGGTCACTTCAGGGGGCCCCTGGCACGCTAGGAGCCCAGCTTCCCTCTGTCCAGAGTCAGACCAAGGGCCACTTCCCGGGAGCCTTGGGGGTTGGAAGGAAGGAGGCTCAGAGCAGGCGGGCATGGGTGCGCCCCCACTCTCAGACCCCGCAGGGCACACGGGACCCAGGGAGCCCTCGGTGACCCAGACACTCCAGCCTGCTCCCTCCAGAGGACAGCCGCGTGGACCTTCACACCAACGCTGTCCCTGACAAGTACCTGATGGGAAGCATGAGTACTGCACTGTCCCCTTTCTGGTAAATTCTGCCAGAGTTCTGATTTACAGTCACTTAACAGCTGCCCAGGGCTGACCCTGCACGGGGTTCTCAGAGGCTGTCAACCACGTGGGAGAACAGAGCCCACGGTTCTCGAGTGGAGCAACTAGCGGACTAGACCCATGGAAGAGGGGCTGCCTTTGGGTGTCCTCCTTACAGGCCATGTGACCACAGTGCTTACTGACTCCTGGTCACCTAACTAACGTACAGAACAGATGCTCTGGGAAGAGCAACACCTGAGGGAAGCTCACCTCTAGGGAGGCGTCTGGGACGTTAACACCCTGCACGTGTGAGCCCACTAAGCACACGTGAGTCCCAGGACCTCAGGTAGGAGGTGTCCTGGTGTGCATTTCAGAGGGGCACCCTCGGGAGTGTCCACCCACCCGGGAGCCCTCTTGAGTGTCTGTCTGTCCACCTGGGCCTAGGACAGCCAGGTCTGACGGTGGGACAGGGCGAATCAATTACATGGATTCCGTTAATTACATGGATTCCATTAATTACACGGACTGTCAAGAGTCAACATCTGTCTTGGAGGAACAAGCAAAGTGCTATAAGGCAGGGATGGTGCCACTGGCCATGCTTTCAGGAAGAACCAGTCCTCAGAGAGACATCATACTGGGAGAGGTGGAAGGTCAGTGAGAGGGAAGAAAACCCTGCACGAGAAATGGCCAGTGACTCCCAGCACGGGGCTCAGCGTGATGGGGACGGCGAGGGCGGTGCAGGCGGCCGGGCTCAGATCTGCTGTCCACAGGGTTTCTGAGCCACATGTGACTCAACAGCACCTAAGAACCTTTCTCTTCACACAACCACAGTTCTGCTTCACGGGTCTGCGCCTGCAGTCCTACAGACAGCGGGGGACCCTGGCTTGGCCGTCCTCTGTGCACACACTCGGTGGTCAGCACCGTCTGGTAGAATACCCAGAGCCCACATGGGTGCACTGAGTGCTCTGTTAAAGGGGTCTGCAGCTGTGAGGAGGAGAGCCCCACACTGGAGCTGGCTCCACCCAGGACAACAGTGGACAGAGACGCTGGACACTGACCTCCGCCGGGACGCTGGGGACCGCGGGAGCGATGCCGTTCTCTGAGCTCACGTTGCTGGAGCTGTTGTTGGGTGAACTGGGCCCGGAGCCGGGGGCGCTGCTGCACGCAGAGTCTAGGGAGACACACGCAGCTGTAAGCATTGCTGGCACGGAGCAGAGAGGGGGCACCGGGTGGGGACCAGTGCGGTGGCCAGCACTAGACTGTAAGGGCAGCTACACAGTGGTGAGTGTACCCAGTGTGGACTGGAGAGTGGGCACCACAGGGTAGGCACCGCGGCCTGCACTAGAGTGTAAGAGCAGTTATACAGTGGTCAGTGTACTGCTGAGGACTGGACAGCAGGCGGGCCTCTGTGGAATGGACACTGGGGCCTGCACTCCAGAGTCTAAGGGGAGAGACAGGTGTGGACTGGAGAGCAGGCACGGAGCGGGCACTGTGGCCCACACAGCAGGGTCAGAGGGGAGATAGAGCCGTGACACACGGCGTGGGCTCCCCTCCAGATGACGGTGCTGGGGCACGCTTACGGCAGAAACACACCGAGGTGCCACACCCCAACAGTCAGGGCTGGGCTGGCCCCTCACCAGGGCTCCTGGCTCCCTTGGCACTCTCCCAGGCACACGCCCCTGGACATCCATGGTAGTCCATTAACAGGCACCCAGAGCCCACACAGCTCCTGGACACCACAACAAGCTGACCACAGAGCAGCTGCAGACACTTACAAACATTGTGACAAGACCCATGACCAGAAAGAAGTCATGTGCCGTGAAGAGGACCGCGGGCACCAGCTGGGCGCACTCCCTGCAACAGTCCTCCCATTGTACCACGTGACACCACAGTCAGAGGAAGTCGCCAGGTGTGTGATGCCGACTCGCTCCGGCCCCTGGCCTCTCACGTGACAGAGCTGAGCGCGGGAACCCCTGACTGCGGAGGGACAGCGTCCCCTCGGGCCCGCACTCCCAGGGCCGCACTGCACAGCGTTTTCCCAGGTGTTTGTCTGGTTAGTGCAGTGGTTATATGTGCTGCACTGCTAACTACAAGGTTGGCTCTTCAAAGGCACCAGACACTGTGAGAGAGAGATGTGGCCACACATTTCTGCAAAGAGGAAAAAATCCCAAACCCACAGCTGCTGAGAGCCTGACCCCTGGGGGCTCCTCACAAGGCTTCCAGTCTCTGCAGGTGGCCACTGCCCGTCGTTCTCCCAAAGAGGCAATGATGGATCCAACCCGCTGACCTTTAGAGCCCCGGTATGTAAGGCCTGACACCACCTAAGTTCCTGTCTGGCAAGGTCAGAGCCGTGGAATCCTGACAGGGGTCCCCCTGGGAAGCGATGTGAAGTGGTGCAGTGCGGTCTGGCTGGGCACCTCAGAGCACATGTGGACGCCTGTGTGCACCAAGCGAAACTGAGCTGAAGGCGCCTGAGGTCAGCACCATGTGGGGCAGACAGGTCAGGACAAAGCCGCAGACATGGCCTTGAGAAGGTCAACGGAAGTGGCTCTGAGCTGGAGGCTGGTCCCAGGCTCCACAAGAAACCAACGTGTCATGCAGACAAGGCCCCGCTCTGCCCACCAAGCAGCATCTCATCTTGAGAGACCCGCTCTCCACAGTCCAACACGCCATCCCTCCACGACCCGTTAACAACCCAACACGTCATCCTGACGTGACTCGCTCTCCAGAACAACCCGGCACGGCATCTCAGGAGGAAGCTGCGCTCCACAAGCTAACACGTCATCTCATCAGAGACCTGCTCTTTACAACAGCAAACACGGCACCCCTACACGACCTGCTCTCCACAACCCAGTACATCATCCCTCCGTGGCCTGCGCTCCACACCAACCCAGCGCGTCATCTCAATTGGGCCCTGCTCTCTGCAGCAGCCCAGCTTGACATTCACGCTGCAGCCCCCCCCAGTGTGCACCCCTCCCTTCCCGGGGTCTCTTCCTGCGGTGACCCATCTCCAGACCCACACTGCATTTCTACCATGCACACTTAGGACGGTAATGGTCACGTCCTGGACTTCCACCACGACCACAGCGTCTCCTCCAGGCCACGGCCAGGAGCCGCATGAGGACACCACCCAGCAGCAGGACCCCCACTAAAATCGGAACTCCTCCTGGGAGCCAAGAATGCTCGTGACGCACCCCAGGCAGAGGTCTATAATCAGACTCATGGCAGGAAGGTGGCTGTCTGCATGCATGCAGGGACTTCAGGATGCGCTACACCCAGCGAAGCCCTGGGTGGCGGGCGGGCCCTGGGCAGTGGGCGTGTGCTGTTGGGGCTGCATCCACACAGATTCTGGGTCCAGGTGAGAGCAGCATCCTTCAGCATACAGTCCCCTAGAAGAGTAGCCCCTCTGCCCCTTCTCCAGCCCACTTGAGGGGCAGCCCCCACCACATCTGGAAGCTGTCATCTCCTCACACAGCAAATGCATGCACTTCTGCTGCTGACCACTAGACGGGGGTCAAGAGCAAGCCCTTTCCCGTGTAGCCGGCTAGTTTCTGCCCAGCTCCTGGCTCTGACACCCTGAAGGCCCAGCTGCTAATGAGAAGGCCAGCAGTTCAAACCCACCAGTGGCTCTGTGGGAGATGCACTGGAGATATGCTAACACAAGTGACAAACTGGCAGCATTTTTCTGAGCTCCCCGTGTCCTGCCAGATCAGTGAGGGACCAGGTCAGAGACCTGGGTTTACCAGGGACAGGCAGGGGGGTGATCATGGCAGGACGGGAAGAGGACTGGGGCAGGGACAGAGCAGGGACGGGGCAGTCACAGCAGACGGGGGCAGGCAGGGATGGTCACGCTGTCTTCAGAGAAGGTGAACATCCTCTCAGTGCCTGCTCTCACCCACGTGCACTCAGGACGCCACGGTCAGTGACCAGCCTGAGGTGCAGAGGGGGCTGTGAGGGGCACGCCAGAGCCCTCATGCAGGGACAAGTGCAGCGGGCATCTCCGGCATGGTGGACAGAGCAGATGGCTCTCAGAGGGGCAGACAGAGCAGTGACAGCCCTGGCGTGGAGGGCTGGGCACACTGCCCGTCTCACGTACCCGTGACGTCCAGCGGACGCTTCTTGAGGGCAGTGATCACAGGCCCATCCTTCCTGCGCAGAAGGGGGCTGCTCCTCCGCTCGGCCACCTTCTGCTTCAGCCGCGACCGTAACTTCAGGTTGGGCTCAGACGCTGCAGGAGGGGGTGTCAGTCAGTCGTGGACACAGCGGTTCACGTGCCCTGTGGGGCCCGAGGCTTCAAGGAGCCCACATGGACACGCCCGCCAGCCAGCGGCCTGGCACTGTGTTGCACTGGACATTTAAACAAATGCCATGGACCCTTGTCTCTTAATGCCAGCAGCCAGCACTTGGGACAGTCATCTGCCCTGGACTCCCAGCAGGTGTGGGGTCAGTGAGGTGGAGGACGGGGTGGGGGCCGGCAGGTGACAGGGCGCTCACCCGTCTTCCTCAGGGGGAAGTCATCTTTGGCGTCGTACATGCCTAGAACCGGGTGGTTGTAGGAGGCTGACACCCCGCTCTGCGGTGGGGAGCTCTGATCCAGGGAGCTGTGCTGTGTCTTCCTGGAGGCAGAAGAGGGGTACAGTTAAGAGTGCTGTCAGGGTGGGCAGTGTGGACACCTCCTAGATGACCTCCCCACTCCCTGGGGCAAAACAGGCAGACAAGACCTCTATACACGCAGACAGAGAGACAGACAGACAAACAGACCACAGAGGCTCCCCTCCCTGCCCAGAACGGAGATGTGGAGCTGGGCAGCACAGTGAAGCCGGGGAGGGCCCCGCGCCCCTCTGTCCCTGCCCCAAGTGCAGTCCTCTGGCTACTGGGTATCCAGCTGCACAGACCACCCAGGGAAGATGACGATGTCAGGTAGCTCAGGTGAGATGTCACGGGTGGGCTGCAGCACAGAGGGCAGGTGTGGGAGTGGACGGGAGCATCCTTCCCAGCCCAGCAGCCACGTGGGAACGGCACCTCTCGTCTGAGAGAGGCAGGAGGTCAGTCGGCAGTAACCACGCTCTTCTGCGTCTATCTGTGGAACTGAATTCTTCCTGGGCAGAAGCCGTCGTGTCTTCTGGATTCCGACTTACAGCACCTCTGACAGGGCAGACGGCTATCCTCCGGGCCTTCGAGGCTGCCCCTTCACAGCTCGCCCAGGCCTCCTGGATTCAAACTGCTGGCCTCAGGCCACCAGGCGAGTGGAGGTGAGCGCATGAGCAATGCACTTCCAGGTGACTTCCTGAAGGCCCGAGGGAGGGACCAGGCCCAGGTGGTCCTCCAGCTAAGCCTAGCTCAGAGTCAGGCTTACAGAATTCTGGTGTCTCTAAACTCATCTACTTAATGACTTAAAATCCATTTTCAACTGGCTCATGCAAAGGCATCTAACTGTGTGGGTCACAACAAATTTTGGTTAACCTTCAGGAAAATGGGAATCCAAGAACACTTGATTGTGCTTATGAGAAACCTATACTTGGACCAGGAAGCAGTCCTCAGAACAGAGCAAGGAAACACTGCATGGTTCAAAATCAGGAAGGAAGTGCATCATGGATGTGTCCTGTCTCCATAACTTTTCAATCTATACACAGAACAGATCATTCAGAAAGCAGCGCTTTAAGAGGAGAAATTGGAGGAAGACTCATCAACAATCTGCATTATGCAGATGACACAACCCTGCTCGCTGAAACTGAGGAGGTCCTGAAGTGTTTGCTGCGGAAGGTCAAGGACTGTGTTCTTCAATATGGATTGAAGCTCAACATCAAGAAGACAAAGATTCTCACCACTGGGCCAACTGACAGCATCATGATAGATGGAGAAGAGACTGAGATTGTTAACAATTACAGCTTGCTCGGCTCCACCATCAACACTCTTGGTATCAGCAGCCAGGAATCAAAAGACAAATTGCCCTGGGAAAATCTGCTGTCAGGGACCTCTCAAGTGTGCCAAAAAGCAACAATGTCAGTCTAGAGACTAAGGTGCGCCTGATCCAGATCACGGTCTTTGCAATTACTTGCTATGCATCAGCGAGCTGAACAGGGACTAAGGATGGCAGAAGAAGGATAGATGCCTGTGAGTTGTGGTGCTAGAGAAGTCTTGAACATACCATGGATTGACAAGAAAACAAATACGTCTGTCTTGAAGAGGGTGAAACCAAGTTTCCCCTTGGAGGCTAGGATTTTGATGCTCTGTCTCACATACTTTGGGCATGTGGCCAGGAGAGACTGGTCCTTGGAGAAGGACATCATGTTCAGAAGGGTGGATGGACAGTGCATGAGAGGAAGACCCTGGATGAGATGGATTGATAACAGTAACTGGGGTGATGGGTGTGAGTGTGTCCGAGTCGGTGAGACTGGCTCAGGACAGGGCAGGCTTTAGAGCTGCTGTACGTAGAGTCACTATGTGACACAGGTGACTCGTTGGCACATGACAACATGTGGAATTTCCAAGGTGGTTTATCTGAACACACGACACTGTTCTTCCACTCTGTGGACCTGTGAGTTAAGCGTGCATCTTCTAATGCTGGCAGTGGACATTTAAACACCCGAGGGCGGGTCCTGCACAGGCTGTGTGGACGGCGTCACATGGATGGCAACACTCACCCTGCGCTTGAGAGCTGCTGTTAGGAGCCATCCAGTCCACGCGGACGCACAGCTAGCCCACGGGTCCCACCCTGCACCACCACGATCTCTGCTGTAGTCGGTGTCACAGTGTCAGTGGACGTCTGTGGACATCGAGGAGGGCCTCCCTGCTGTGTTGCCTCTTTCCTTGACCACGAAGCGCATCCCAGCATGCTTCCTTCTGAGGAGAAGGCTGGGGACAGCTTCTCAGGACAGAGCTCTCTGTTCTGGCAGGACATGGTCCAGCAGTTCTCACTGCTGAAAACCACAATTCTACAGCAGCGTCTTTCGGTGTTTCGTACGCATCTTCCAGCTTTCACATCCGTGTGAGGCGACTGAACACGTCACGGACTGAGTTATGTCAACCTTAGCCCCCGGCAGAGTGTCGTCTTCTTTTTTTTTTTAAATATTAGTTTATTTACAAAATCAGAATACATTGATTTTGAGAACAGATTCTTCCAATTTCCCTCACGTCCACCATCAATAATCTTCCCTCCTGTGCTTCGTTGACTATGCAAAGGCTTTTGACTGTGTGGATCACAACAAGCTGTGGCTGACTCTGAGAAGAATGAGAATCCCAGAACACATGATCGTGCTAATGTGAAACCTATACTTGGACCAAGAGGCAGTCATCAGAACAGAGCAGGGAGACACTGGATGGTTCAAAATCAAGAAAGGGGTCCGTCAGGGATGTATTCTGTCTCCATACCTTTTCAATCTGTATGCAGAACAGATCATCCGAGACGCTGGGCTGTACGAGGAGGAATGTGGCATCAGGATTGGTGGAAGAATCGTCAACAACCTGCGTTATGCAGATGACACAACCCTGCTCACTGAAACTGAGAAGGACCTGAAGCGCTTGCTGCAGAAGGTCAAGGACTGCAGCCTCCTATATGGACTGAAGCCCAATATCAAGAAAACAAAGATTCTCACCACTGGGCCAACTGGCAGCATCAGTATGGATGGTGAAGAGATTGAGATAGTTAACAGTTTTAGTTTGCTTGGCTCCACAGTCAACACTCTTGGTAACAGCAGCCAGGAAATCAGGAGACGAATTGCATTGGGAAAGTCAGCTGTGAGGGACCTCTCAAGAGTACTGAAGTGCAACGACATCAGGCTGGAGACTAAGGTGCACCTGATCCAAGCTATAGTCTTCAAAATTATGTGCTATGCATCGGAGAGTTGGACAGTGAATAGGGATGACAGAATGAGAATTGATGCCTTTGAGCTTCGGTGCTGGAGAAGAGTGTTAAATATACCATGGACTGCTAGGAGAACAGTTTTGTCCTGGAGAGGGTGAAGCAGGAATGCTCCTTGGAGTCAAGGATTCTGAAGCTTCGTCTGACACACTTTGGGCATGATGCAAGGAGGGACTGGTCCTTGGAGAGGGACATCATGTTTGGGAGAGTGGAGGGGTGGTGCAGGAGAGGAAGACCCTCGATGAGATGGATCGATTCTGTGAGTGGAGTGGTGGGAATGAATGTGTTTGAGACAGTGAAGTTGGCACAGGATAGAACGGCATTTAGAGCTCTTGTACATAGGGTCGCTATGAGTCGCAAACGACTTGATGGCACATAACAACAACCACCACCCCCGGAACATTCTCATTCCTCTGCTTCCCACATATTCATTCTAAAATGATGGTTTTATACAATATTTGTCTTTGTGGGGCTGAGTTACTTCACTCAGCATAATGCTCTCCAGTTTCTCCCAAGTTAGGTAGTAATTTACAAAATCATTGGTCCTGCGCATTGCATAGTGTTCCATTGCGTGAATGTCCCATAATTTCTCTGTCCATTCATTTGTAGTTGGACATTTGGGCTGTTTCCATGTTCTTGTGATGGTGAATAATGCTGTGATGTAGTATCTTTGCTTTTTAACATCTTCAAAATGTTTTTTCAGCAATCTGCCCATTTGTAACAGTGTAACATTTAACTTCAGCACATCAAGGCCACACTCCAGTGCTTTCCAGCACAGAACCAAGTGTATGTCCTTGCACACAGGCTGACTACCCACTGGGGCTCTGGGGGTCTCTTCACAGGAGCGATGGCCTCCCGTTCCTCCCGAGGAGTAGCTGGTAGTCTCTGTAACATCCATCAGTCATGTCAGTGAGGTGACAGGGACAGCAAAGGGGCAGTGGTAGAATTGTCACCTTTCACATAGGAGACCTGGACTCTCTCAGTCAGGGCTTTAACGTTGAATAGGTACTGGCAGAACTACCAGACTAAGAGAGACTAGGACGAAAGGCCTGGCAATGGACATCTGACATCAGCCAGAGGTGCACTTGAGAGCTCTCTCTCTCGCGCGCGCGCGCTCTCTCTCTCTCTCTCACACACACACACACACCCCACTGCACAGATGCACACATTTTACTTGTTATGCTTCTCTGGAGATCCAGACCCTTGCCTAAGACAGAGGTGACAGATTGGGGGGGGGGGAGGTGTCAACTCTGTCCACGGCATCGTGCCCACTGCTTACTCACACTCTGAACCCGAGAAGATGCCCACGTACATGGGAGCCCAGTGTTGTCCATGCCCATCACTTACCTGTACCCTGATGGTGAGAAGATGCCCACCTGGCATGAGAGCCCAGCCCTGCCTGTGCCTGTCACTCACCCGCACCCCGGCCCTGAAGGGACGCCCAGGTGGCACGAGGGCCCAGTCATGCCCGGCCCATCACTCACCCATACCCCGGCCCCGAAGGGACGCCCAGGTGGCACGAGGGCCCGGCCCGGCACTCACCCGCACCCTGGCCCAGAGGGGATGCCCAGGTGGCACGAGGGCCCGGCCCGGCCTGTCATTCACCCGCACCCCGGCCCCGAGGGGACGCCCAGGTGGCACGAGAGCTCGGCCCGGCCCGTCACTCACCCGCACCCCAGCCCCGAGGGGACGCCCAGGTGGCATGAGGCCCGGCCCGTCACTCACCCGCACCCCGGCCCCGAGGGGACGCCCAGGTGGCACGAGAGCTCAGCCCGGCCTGTCATTCACCTGCACCCCAGCCCCGAGGGGACGCCCAGGTGGCACGAGGGCCCAGCCCGGTCTGTGCCCGTCACTCACCCGCACCCCGGCCCTGAGGGGACACCCAGGTGGCACGAGGCCCGGCCCGTCATTCACCTGCACCCCGGCCCCAAGGGGACACCCAGGTGGCACAAGGCCCGGCCCGTCATTCACCCGCACCCCGGCCCCGAGGGGACGCCCAGGTGGCACGAGGGTCCAGCCCGGCCTGTGCCCGTCACTCACCCGCACCCCGGCCCCAAGGGGACGCCCAGGTGGCACGAGGGCCCGGCCCGGCACTCACCCGTACCAGTAGCGCGGGTCACTGGAGATGCAGTGGTTGAGGCTGCGGTGGGCCAGCGCCTTCTTCTTGTTGAGGACGAACTCCTGCAGCTTCATCTTTACCTCCGTACTGGCCACTGCACCTGCCGAGGGGACGCAGAGCCGGTGACTCCCGGGGAGGTGGGGAGCGAAAGCAGGAAGGGGCCCGACATCCGAATTCTAACCCGAGATGCTTCTGAGGGCAGGTGGGCGTGCTCGAGGGCAGTGGATGGGGCAGGGCTAACAAGACGCTTCCTGCCATCAAGACGCCGCCCTAACTGCATCTGCTTAAAATGCTGATTTCGTCATCATGGAGACTTGCCGTTAGCCACACAAAGCTCACATCTGAGGGGCTTCAACGCATCAAAGAGTGGTCTGAAGCCGGTGTGGGCAGCAGGACGGCCCAGTCTCAAGGGGCTGCAGCCATGCCAGTGGCTGTGCAGAGTCCAGCGAGGAGCAGCGGCCTGGGCTGTGGGCTTTCCCACTCGCCCGGTCAGCAGTGCCCACCACCGCAGTGATCAGTGACCCGTTAACAGAGCCCCGGCCAGCAGTGCCCACGCCCACCAGCAGTGATCAGTGACCCCGTTAACAGAGCCCCGGCCAGCAGTGCCCACGTCCACCACCGCAGTGATCAGTGACCCCGTTAACAGAGCCCCGGCCAGCAGTGCCCACGTCCACCACCGCAGAGATCAGTGACCCCGTTAACAGAGCCCCGGCCAGCAGTGCCCACGTCCACCACCGCAGTGATCAGTGACCCCGTTAACAGAGCCCCGGCCAGCAGTGCCCACGCCCACCATCGGCAGCAGTGCTGAGCGGGTCTCCTCCAGTCACACTCAGGAGTAACAGTGAACTCTGTGGGCGTCTCGTGTTGGTGGAGGCTGGATCCCCGTCTCTTACAAAAAAGCCAGACGCTCTGCCTTACAGGAAACCATCCTCCCGACCGCACAGTGGAAGCTGTGTTCTGAGGGGCCGGAAGGGGTCCCCCCAGGCTGTGGCCTGTGGCCCCTCTAGCTCGCCAGAGAGGACGGGAGGATTGTAACTCGGAGCCGAGGATGCGAGAGCAGCAGGAGGGTCCGGCCGGGCCGGGGGTACTTGTGGACCCAGATGCCCGCACTGAGGGAGCCTGAGGCCCGGCCTGCAGATGCGGAGGGAAACCAGGACGTCCCTCCGCAGCCTTCACAGAGAAGGGCCTCCCCTGGGGCCGCCACCCTGAACGGGAGTGCCCTGGTGGCTCAGTGCGTAACCTCAAGATCCATGCTTCGAGGTTTTTGGCTTTGGAAACTGGACACAGTCTCTGTGAGCGGCAACGGGCTGGAGGCCAGTGGGCTGGGGGTGCTGGCCTCTACGCTGAACATTCCCAGGGTAGGGACCCAGTGACCACACGCAACACTGTCTGTCCTCCCTGAATTCTGAGGGGTCCCTGACCTGTCTACTTAAAGGCAGGATTTGGCACCAAACAAAATGAAGGTGGAACTCCAGAACTGTCACAATCAGATTATTTTAAATGTTTACAAAAGCAACAAAGCTTCAGCCAAACACTCAACCAGAAGTTCCTGAAAACAGAGGCCTAGCAGCAGCTGTGGCCCCTCCTGAGGGTTGAACCTGGTCAAGGTTTAGGCTGGAACGCTTGCTGCCGCAGACCTGTGCTCCACAAACGCTCTTTAAGTCCCTGTAAACAAGCTTCTCCTTCACACCGGGACAGGGGCTTGGCTTACATGGGCCCGAGAGGCATCCATGCGGGCTGGCCGGCCGCGTGCCCACCTCAAGACCACACTCTGATGGCCATGGGGTTCTGCACTGTGTGCCAAACACCCAAACTTCACACAGCGTGTTATTAATAATAAAATACGACCACCCAAATCCACAGAGGGGAAGCCACGGGCCGCAGGCAACAACCGCCAGAGAGCGAGGCCACTGCAGCTCAGCAGCTGGAGGTCCTGCAGGCCGGCCGGCGGGTCTGGCGCGGCCTCCAGGCCTTGTCTCTCTCAGAGCCTGGACCGCTCGCTGCTCTGTTAGGCCTGGGGACAGTGAAGCGCTGACTTACACGGTAGGAGGGGCCACCTGGCCTGCCGTGATTTTAGCCACTGGCTGGCTGTGGTGCAAGTCAATGAGCTGAAGGTTACACGAATGCAAACTTTCTGTAAGAGACAATTCTCCCGACTCCACAAACCCAGAGCAGCAGCCAAGGTGCTCGTGGAGGCCAGATCCAAGCCCTGCAGGACGGGGGCGGAGTTCCGTCAGACTGGCTGAGCATGTCCAAGGGGCAGCTGGGCGGATGTCACCCCAGCCCTACCACAGGGCTCGAGAGAGTGGACAGTATTCACAGGAGACATTCTCCCACCGCGGCAGGCGGCCCTCAAACACTAGGCTGCAAGTGGAAACCTGACAGGCTAGTTCCGCTGGACACACACAGATCTCATGAGGAGTAATGGACTGCACAACAGAGGCCCAGAGCGAGAGGAGGCGCGCGCGCGTGCGTGTGTGTGTGTGTGTAACAAAACTGCTGACGTCTCGGGCATCTCTCCACGTGCTGGTTCTGGATCTTTCAGAAGACAAAGCTCTCCTCACATACCTCCCAGCTGATGGCACCAGCCAGGGAGAAGACACTCATTCTGTCTTCTTACCGTTCTGAGAAGAGGCCCTGGTGGCAATGTGTGAACCTGTCAAGCTGATAACGGAAAGACTGGCAGTTCGAACCCACCTTGGAGAAGCCGAGGGAAGACTGACAGCCTCAGACTGACAGCAGTGAGCCTGCTATTCAGAGAGAAGGCTCTGACAACTGGTGTCAGAGAGGCTGGTTCATGCCATGGACAAAAACCACTGCAAAGAACTCACAGATGGTTCAACAGAAAAAGAAACGAAAGATCACAAGAACACTGGGTCCATGAGCTTAGAAAAACATTATACCTCCTTTCCTGACCTACATGTATTTACATATAAAGAAATAACACAGGCATAACAACACAAATAAGAATATATACTAATTTCGTAGAGTTGTTTTGCATAGTACAATTCATTACCTTTAATAAGCTCAAGGACGGTATTTACTTGTAGCTATTAAAGTTCTTTTAAACCCCAAGAAGGATTTCAAGAAAATGTATCCCCCTACAAGGATTAAAGGCAGTTTGTGACCTCTGCACCCTTGATATAGAATGAAGACCTAACTGAATCCGCAGGGCAAGTCTGTGCTGACCCACAGGGGCTCTGAGACGGTAAATATACAGGGAGCAACTGGGTCATCTTCCTCCGTCAGAGCACACCAGGGATTCAAACTGCCAACCTTTTAGTTAGCAGTCGACAGAAGAGGCTCACAACGTGAAATGATTTAAACTTCCGGGCAGAACTCCAGCTGAAATCCAGTGCACAGCTGGTCTGCCTTAGGGTTTGGGAGGCCTTAAATCCAAATATTTAAATATTAATATGAAAATTCAAATATCAGGAATACCACCGAGCATTCCTTCTTCAGTCCAACTGAGCGATGCGTCATCCTGACCTTACTGAGCCTCACCGGGGGGCTGGGAGCGAGGCCCGATGAGGAGAAACCTCGGCTGCACTGCGGCCCCATTCCACCAGGGAGAGGCCTCCCCCAGCAGCACCCACTGTGCACCCATGGTGCCTGCCCAGCCACGGGGCCCACACTCCCTTCCTCCTGTCCATGGTGCCCGCCATTGATGCCCGTCCCTGGTCCTGCCGCGGTGCCCACCCTGGTGCCCGCCCCCGTGCCCACCCCATCGTCCCGCCCCTGTGCCCACCCCGGTGCCCACACTCACTCTCCTTGCCCTTCTCCTTGTTCTTCAGCTGCTGCAGCTTCTGCTCACGGTGCTGCTTCTCCAGCTCCTGCTCCTGGCGGTGTCTCTCCAGCTTGCGCTGATGCTCCAGCAGCTCCTGTTGGTGCTTCAGGGCCAGCATCTCCTGCTGCTGCTGTGGGAGGGAGAGGCCGTCAGCACAGCCTGCACGACACGCTCAGGAGAAAACCTGCCAGGGCAGCGGCGGGGCTGGGCTGCTGTGGTGGCACGGCGGGTTAAGTGCTAGGTGCTCATAAAAGGTCAGGACTTTGAACCCCCAGCTGCCCCATGGAGAATGATGAGACCAGCCAATGCCCCGCGAAGCCTCTGGGGCGCCCGTCACCGTGAGCCGGGTGACGCCACAGCAGGGGGTCTTGTCTGTTAGTTTGCTTATTCATTTATCTCAAGCGCTGACCAGGAAGAACTAAGCAATGGTGATGACCTCAGGGGCAGGTGTTGCCACAAGGCCTCAGACAAGTCACCGTTCTCTGACCGACGGCACACACTGGTACACACACAGGTGGCCAGAAGTGCAAGGGCACTGCTGACCACACAGGATCTGTACGTCTCCTTATAAAGAACAGATCCAAAACATTGGAGCCAGCAGGGAACAGAAAAGTCAAAAGGTGTCTGTGATGTTCTGTTTGTGAGTAAACGGCTGTTGCACAATAATTAGGCTTTGACACCAGTCAGGCAGACAAGCAAAGCGGAGCTCAGTGGGATGAGGACGGAGCTCACCCCAGGGCTGATGGTCCTGGGGGACCTGACACAGACACCCCATCAGAGCTCTGTCTCACAGGGCAGATGGAGTGAGTCTGATTACCCCTGGACCAGCACACCCCTGAGGGATTTCAGGATAGGACAAAGGTGGAGGGGGCGGATGGAACACCACAGGTTCACTTTCTACTTCTTTACCCCAGCACCCCGCACCTTCCAGGCCAGCCAGGCCCAGATGGCAGGCCTGCGGGCATGGGGCCCTCGAACCTCGGGCACAGCGCCCTCCACCCACGGGTGGACAGAAGGTCAAAACGAAGCCTTCAATATGTGTAACACCTCATTATCAAGAAGACAAAAATCTTCACCACTGGCCAACAGGCAGTAGTATGCTGATAGATGGAGAAAAGACTGACGCTGTCAATGATTCAATTTCATCTTGCTTGAGTGTACAATCAATATTCATGGTGACAGCAGTCAAAAACCGTGAAGATGTGATGCACTGGGGAAAACCTGTTGTCAAGGATCTCTCCAAAGTGGTAGTGAGGAAGGATGGCAGCTTAAGGACTAAGGTGCGTCTGATACAAGTCATGGGATATTCTACTGCTTCCTATACCTCTGAAAGTTGGACAATGAAGAAGGAAGACCAAATAAGAATCAACGCATTGTGGAGTTGGAGAAAAGTATCGAATATCCTGTGGACTATCGAAAGAACAAATAAACCTGTCTTGGAGGAAGTCCAACTAGTTGCTCGTTAGAGGCGAGAACGGTGAAACGACGTCTCACACACGCTGGGTGTGTTGTCTGAGGAGCGTCTTTGGAAAGGTTCAGGGTTGGAGAGAGCTGACCCTCCACAACGTGGACCACACTGACCGTGCCGGCGGACGTGAGGGGTGTGTCAGAGACGGGGATGACGGCGCAGCAGGGCAAGGTTCAGATCTGCTGTTCACAGGCCGCTATGAACCGCAGTGGACTTGACGGCACCTAACAACAACAGGCTGCAGTAAAACTCTGCTGACGACTACTAAAATGACTGGAACACTGACAAGCAAGTACCAGGAACTACAGTCAGACTCAGGAGAGGACAGAAACTAGGCTATCATTGCTGGCCTAAGACGGATTTTGGCTGAAAGTACCAAATATTAGAAAGACGTTTGTTTTACTGACTACACAAAACCACTCAACTGGGTGGATCATCATTAAAGACAAAGATTAGGAATCCTGGACCCTTAACTGGGCTCCACGGGCCAAGGGGCAGCCCCTTACACAGGACCAGGAGATGCCGCAGGGTTTAAAACGCCGACAGAGAGGCCTGAGAGCTGTATCCTCTGACCTAACTCAACGCAGGTCACGTAAACAAGCAGAGACTCTGGACTGACTGCGTGAAGGGGCGTGAGGCTTCGGGACGAGGTGCTAAAGCCTGAGCTACGCTGATGAAAACCTCGCTGTGGAAGGTGCAGAACGGAAGCACCTGCTGATGGAGTTCAAAGACCTGACCTGACTCCAGAGTCACAGCTCAACAGCAGGAACACAAACCTCAGACCATGAAAAACGGAGGAAAAGACTGACACAGTGAAGGATTTCGTTTTACTTGGACCCACAGTCACTATCTGTGGAAGCAGCAGTCAGGAAATCAGATGGCAGGCTGCACTGACACATCTGTCCAAGATTCTCTACAGTGTGAAACAGCAAGGCTGCCACTTTGAAGACTAAGGTGCGTCGGCCCGAGACATGGTTTGTTTTTCTCACGCATGTGACAGCTGGACGGTGGTAAGGAAGCAGCAGTGGCCACATGTGGTTGTGGGGTGAGTGGTGGTCACCTCGTGGATACGGAGCCACGCAGGGCACCATGGGAAGGACGGTGGATCATGATGGGTAAGATGGACAGAGGAGGTGCAAGGGGCCTGGCCTCGTCTGATGATCCTCTTCCTCCTTCAGTCAGGAAGCCAGCCCACCCCCAGGGGGTCCACTGACTCCTGGGACCCAGCAGGGCTGGGCAGAGCAGGGCTCCACGCACCTCTGACACCGTGACATCCTCGGAAGCACACCCTCACATCTTTCTTCTGAAGGGTGGCTGCTGGTTTAAACAGCTACCTCTCAGTGAGCAGCTGAGCGTTTTAAGCATAGCAGAAGCAGGGCTTCGGACAACGAAGGCAGCTCTGAGGATGTGAACTGATGTGGCCCCTGGAGCCCCTGCAGCAGCCTCTGCCGAGCTCTACTGGACACAGAGCTTTGGAGGCTGCGAGCAGGCCACGGCCACTGAATTTCAAATGCGAAATACACTGTGCACAGGGCACATGCGTGTCTCTATATGGAGGGGAGCCCGCAGGACTTCTGTTACGTGTGTGGCTGTCTGTAAGGTTTTTTAAGCTCTACTTAGAGGAAACCCTGGGTGACGCTTTGCAGGTCAGCGGACAGAACGGGAAGGAAGCAGGTCCTGGGTAAAAGGCTGGTGCTTACACACTCCCACCAGGTCTCCCCGCCACATGCGTGGTCTGTCTGCTGTGATGTGTCCGCTCTGGACTCGGCCTGTGTGTGCAGCAGCAAGAAGAAGACTCGCTGTGCCTGGTTCCCCGGTGTCTAGAGGCCACTTAACAAGTTGTCAAGGGCTGGTGTCCCCCAAAATGCCTGTGTGCAAGCTATGCCGTACCACCTTAAAGACTAACCTGAGCCTGGTGCGGGCACGCTGTTCTCAGTGGCTCACTGTGCACCAGAAAGCTGGACAAAGAGGAGGTGCAACCAGGGCGCCCTTAGAGGCAAGGACATTTGTTTCATGTATCTTGGACATGTGGCCAGGAAGGACCAGTCCTTGGAAAAAGGTTTCATGCTGGGCCAGTCAGAGGTCAGAAAGAGAGCAAGACCCTCCACAGGACACACCGGCCCTCCGTGATGACCTTGAGTGTGCCAGAGACGCTGAGAAGGCACAGGGCAGCCAGGGCTCAGCTCCGCTGTCAGTGAGCTCAAGTCTCCTCAGCATCTAACACGATCTCATGATCCCCAAGATCTGGTAAACCAGTCGCACGAGGGTTAGGGTGCAGGGCACATCCTAACCCCATCGCAGCCTTGATGGCATGTCAGAGGCCCCGGACATGTGGGTGGCTGTGACAGGTTACATAAATGGGGAGATCAAGCCAAGGCAGAGTGGCCGACTTGCTGTCACAAAGCACGGCCAGGGGTTGATCAGATCTTGTGTGAAAAGCTCCTCGATTTGGAGGTCAAGGCATGGAGGCCTCCAGGGGCACCTGACTGCGAGACGCTGAAAGAAGTCAAGGCTTTTCTCCCCAAACGACAGAGAGGACCTTCCCTAGAGCGGACCCCAGAATCGGGACTTCTTGTCTGCTGAGCAGTAACAGACTGAGTTTCTGCTGAAGCGGCCACTTGGGGAATTCGTGCAGCAGCGACAGCTAGGACCCCCGCCAGCGCAGCCCGGCTCTGTGGTTGGCACCACCAGGGGGAACAGGCGGCAGGCCCAGCCCCAGCGTCCCCTCTGCACACCAGGCAGAAGTCGGAGCAGGAGGGACAGCGGTCTGGGGACGTCTGGGGCCTGCGCACCTCTCTTCAGAGTGTCCACACCCCACCTCTCCCGCCCCTCACCTCCATACGATCATCCCATTTCCTCCAGCCCCCTGCCCCTCACCTGGATGTGCTGACCCTCCCCAGTCCCCCTCACCTGGAAGCACTCAGATTCCTCCATGTCCCCTCACCTCCACATACCCCGTGACCCCCCCCAACGTCCTCGTCCCCTGTGCCCCCTTGACATCCCCTGTGCCCCCACCTTGATGTCCCCGTACCCCCACCTCAATGTGCTCATCTACGTGTCCCCCCACGTGCTCGTCCCCGTGCCCCCACGTGCTCGTCCCCGTGCCCCCGACGTTCTCATCCCCGTGCCCCCCTCACGTGCTCGTCCCCGTGCCCGCGACGTGCTCGTCCCCGTGCCCGCGACGTGCTCGTCCCCGTGCCCGCGACGTGCTCGGTCCCCGTGCCCCCACCTTGATGTGCTCGTGCAGCTGCGCCTCGTGCTGCCGGGACAGCTGCTCGTGCTGCCGCTGGAACTCGGCGATGAGGATCTGCCGCTGGATCTGCTGCTTCTGCTTCAGCGCCAGGAGCTCCTGCTGCAGCTGCTGCTCCCGCAGGGCCGGCTCCCCCACGGCCAGCGGGAACTGCGGGTCCAGGCGCAGGTCCATGGGCACGGCCGCGGGGGCCACCTGCAGGGGCAGCGGGGCCGCCACGTCCACTGTGGGGAGAGCAGAGGGCAGCGGTCACCACGCGGCTGGTGTCCCGGACAGCATGTCCACTGGGAGCCCGTGGGCGCGTGACGGACTTCAGAGACCACGTCCACCGCGGGGAAGGCAGGTCACAGGGGGACGTTGCTGGGCTGGGTCTGGACCCCACGTGTGCGAAGCCACGTCCAGCACACCTCCCTCGTTTCAACTTCTCATCGACGGGCAACGCACAAAGCACCCGACACCCTCTGAGCTGGACCTCAGACGACCTCACAGCCAGCACGGGGTTCGGCTCCTTCCCCAGCACCTTCCTCGGCCACAGGCTCACCTCTGTGCAGAGCACTGGGGTGAAGGTGCTAACAGCACCGCAGATCGGGGTTCACGGAGCCACACACTGTCGGGAGGACAGGTGAGAGGCTGACTGTCTACAAGTCAGGTCCACCACTGTGGTTGGGGGCCCCGGCCCCACGCAGGACCCCTGGCCAGAACACCACAAGGGCCACGAGACTGCAGGGCCACCAACATCAGGACACGAACTGACCACACCTGCCAGGGCAGTGAGGCTGGCCAGGACCGGGCAACATGACACTCGGGAAGGTTAGTCCTCTGGGGCCAAAAGTGACCTGACAGACACGCAAAGTTATTTTCCACTTTTCAGTGACGTGACATCACCCTCACATCCTGCCCCTTTCTGTGTATAAGCTGCTTCCCTGAAGATTGGAAAAGGGGCTTCCAAGTGACTGACCTGCCATTTTAAATGTGTACCTACAAGAAAATAACAAGTAGTATTTTTAAGCCTAAGGCAGGTGTCATCACGTGGCCTGGAACACAGTTCACCACTGGCCGCAGTGACCCTGCGACGCACAGTGGCCCCAGCGAGCATGCCCTCATCAGCTCTGCGGAGTCGCTGCACGGACTGTGGTGCACCCCGCTGGAGAACATGAGCTTTGAAGGACAACTCGGACTCCACCACTGCTGGACCCGTGCAGGGCGGGGCCACAGGCTGGCATCCGGCTCAGAGACACTGCCTGGCTTGACCTCTGGGTCTCGGGGAGACGGTCTTTTGCACAGCACACCCGGACCACAGGAAACCGAGCTGTCCCTGTCAAGGCCCCCATTTGTGCCTACACCACTGCCCGAGCAGATGTCCCCAGCGTCGTCCCCACCTCAGACCCCTGTCCCCAGCTGTGACCACTGTACCCACCTCAGACCCCCGTCCCCAGCTGTGACCACCGTACCCACCTCAGACCCCCATCACCAGCTGTGACCACTGTACCCAGGTCAGACCTCCATCACCAGCTGTGACCACTGAACCCACCTCAGACCCGTCCCCAGCTGTGACCACTGTACCCACCTCAGACCCCCGTCACCAGCTGTGACCACTGTACCCACCTCAGACCCCTGTCACCAGCTGTGACCACTGTACACAGGTCAGACCCCATCACCAGCTCTCAGCCCTGGACCCACGTTGGGTCCACAACCCCCAGCTCTCACTGGTATGGCTTCACATCTCCAATGAAGTTGGTGCTGCTGTTAAGACAGCAACGAACATCCAAACCCCTCCCAGGGGAGGAGACCCACCAAAGTGCCTGCGAGATGCTGCCTGACTTCACGGATACCCACCCGTGCGGCCAGATGATGGGGAAGTGGCTGCAGTGTCCCCAGGCCCTGTCCTCCCAGCTGTGCTGGTCAGAGCCACAGCCCCCACTCATCTCACGCCTGGTGGGTGCGTCAAACACGCCTTGTACTACTTCTGTATCAAAAACGGCTGGAAGCATCTTGGGTTCCCAGCACCAACTGCTGGTGCTCTCGAGCCAAGCACCCAGGAGAACAATGGAAGCTCCTCTACTCCAAGGGCTGCATCCAAACAAAAACGCCTTCTGGCGGACGCTGGACGGGGAGCTGTGCCCTGAGAAACACAACCAGATAATGACGTCCGAGGACCACAAAGGCCACACTGAGTCCCTTCAGGAACGTCAGGCCGCACCACAGCCGGACGAGCTGCACCCGGCACAGAGCACCGGTCACCGAGGGTGACAGTGCGACTTTCCATTGCGTGGTCAAGTCCCCCTCTCGTGACACACCCCCTGCCCCCATGTGGACACGGAATAATGGGAGCTTTGTTCTTTCAGGCGTCTCTTCAAGTGAAGAACGACGAATTCAAATCCAGCAAAAGAACACACATTCCAACTCTTAACCTCAACTTCCTGTAATGCTGACATTTTGCCCATATAATCGTGTGTGACACTGGACATGAGTATCTTTTTAATTTTTTTCTTATTCCATCTCCACAAACAACATTAACTGGTACTCCACATCCACTAGGGTTACATAATCCACACACGCTTACTGCATGAGGTCCAGGGCCATAGTGTCACACGGACACTCCTGACACATGCCCCCCCCCCAGGCCCCGTCACCACACGGACACCCTAACACGCGCCCCACAGGCCCCGTCACCACACGGACACCCTAATGC